TAGCTGGGACAGGTAAAGGGGTTTTATCTACTACAGTTTAAGGTGCCTCCAAATTTCATGTGCTGGGAACATAATCCCCAAATTCATATGTTGGTGGCATGCAGGGGTGGGGCTTTTGGGAGGTAATCGGGATGAGACAAGGCCATCAGGGTGGCCCCACATCATGACGCAGCAGGGAACCTCCCCAGGTGCCAGCGTTGTGCCCTTGGACTTCCCAGCCTCCTGAACCACGAGCTGAATAAATGTCTTTTCTTTGTAAATTACCCAGTCTGTGGTATCTGTTACAGCAAAAGAAAACGGACTGAGACACCGTCCAACCCAGGCTGACGAGGCCCGGAATGTCAGGCATCCTTCCAGGCCCTGAGATGTAAATGGCAGCAGAGAGGGGGCTCGGAGGCTCCTGACAGTCACAGCCACTGCCTCCCGCTCCCTCTCACCTGTGGCAGGTGCAGGGCTGGAGCACCTGGGAGCAGCAGGATGGTGAGCCCTGCGATGAGTGTGTGATACGAGTCATAGATTACAAAGGACAGCAATTGAACACTCTGGAAAATTCACAATTATAATACAAAATATAATACAGCATACTATGTTACAATAGAATGCCATCCTGTTGGATAACAGCATTTTATCCAGGTTAAATTCCTGATTTGAATAAGCACACAGTGGTTACGTAAGAGCATGTGCCTGTCTGAGGAAGTTCACTCTGAAATATTCATGGAGAAAAGGCACAGTGTTTGCAGTTTATTCTCAAATGATTCAGAAGAAAAAAAATGTGTGTGTGTATCTCTGTGTCTGTCTTATGTCTGTGTATGTGTGTGTGTGTCTGTCTTATGTCTGTGTACGTGTGTGTGTCTGTCTTATGTCTGTGGATCTGTGTCTGTCTGTCCTATGCCTGTGTATCTGTGTGTCTTATGTCTGTGTATCTGTGTGTGTGTCTGTCTTATGTCTGTGTATCTGTATCTGTATGTGTCTTATGTCTGTGGATCTGTGTGTGTGTCTGTCTTATGTCTGTGTATCTGTGCGTGTGTGTGTGTGAGAGAGAGAGAGATAGAGAGAGAGAGAGAGAGGCAAACGGCCCAGCGTTAACAGCTGTGAAGCGAGGCTGGCCGGTTAGCACAGTTGGTCAGGGTGCAGCCTTAAAACACTGAGGTTACGGGTTCAGTTCCCTGTGCCAGCCAGCCGCCAAAACCAAACCAAAACAAAGCAGTTGGTGAAGGGAATACGGAAGTTGTCGGGGCTGCGTTGGTACGTTTGGAAGTACTTAAACACAAAATAGAAAAGCAAGCAAGCACAGCCGTGTGTGACCGAGGGACCTGAGCCCTCTGGTGTTCCTGGTGTCTGCGGTGGGTGCTGTGCTAGGCTGGCTATGCTCCTGGCTGGCACAGCCAGGGTCGCCCTCAGGACACCTGCTGTGGCCGTGAGACGTGCTCTGCCAGGTGTCTGCCCCACGAACAATGAGTGGTCGTGGTCCTTGTCGCATCTGTCTCGGCATTTGTGCTGACAGTGGCCCCTGCTCAGTGACAGTGTTGACTCTTTCCCTGTGACATACTGAGTGTGCTGGTGAGTCATGTCTGTTTAATTGGAAATAGGTGGACACATCAGGGGTTTAACCAGAGGAGCTGCAGCCCCTACACACCTAAAAGTTATTTCCAACTTAAAGAAACAGTCGGAATGGAGTGTAATGATGGCGTTTTAAAAGCCCAGACATTGGGGTTAAACACCAGTTTGAGTATTCTCAATTTCATCAGGTGACATTCGGTTGACTTTTCCACCCACAGCCAAGACAGGTCCCTGCCAGCTGCAGTGGCAGCACGGGAGGTGGCACTAGCACAGTTCCGTAGATGGCAGCGCTATGGTCGGGCCACTTGAGCCTCGTCAGACTTCTGAGTGGGCTTGTCCTATCTTGTCAAGTTTCCTAACCTCCCTGGATCATTCCCTCCCACGATCAAAGAGTGACAACATCTGCCAAACTAACTCTTATCTGGCTTTTGAATAAGAAAACATGAGAAAAAACGATTTTAAATATAAATACAAAATCTCTTAACTGAAGAGTTTGGGGAAATGAGTTGATTCATTTGGGGAAATGAATAAATCTTAATCTCAGCCTACAGTCTAAAAACTCATGTCTTACTGAGAAGCCCGCTGCACGTGACACACATTCTGGGAAGGTGACTTCTGCTGGGGCCAGCCGATGGACCTGCCACAGAAATCTCGGGGACATGCCTGTGTGTACATGTGGGGACACAGTGGTCACCAGAGTCCAGGTCTTTGCTGACTGGCACAACCTTTCTCAGAGGCACCCAGAGCACTCCATCCCAGGTCCCAGCATCAGACCTGGTGCCCCATGTCCTGAGACCACTGACGGAGGAAGTCTGTGACAGATGTAGGTGGAAAACAGGGGCACAGCGGCCACACTTCTGGACCACACCTGCCTTTGAATCGCCCCTGCTTGCCAGCTGGGGGCAAGAGGCAGTGACCCCAGCACTGGGTTTCCAGTGACTTGAATCACACAGTCTTCACCACCAAGGCTCCTGGGGAGGAGCCATGTGTGACAGTCCACACCTCACTGGATCTAAGGTGCTGTTAAGGTATGAGATGCCCCTTATGTCATGTCTCAGAGAAAGAAAAAGAAAAAACTCCACCAATTAAACCATGAGACACAATAAAATACAGGATGCGTCACAATTTCAGAAATACGAACTGCAAAAAACGCATCCTAGGTGAAAAATGTCACCACTTTGCTAGAGATTAACCTCTTCTCAGAAGAGATGGGCAGCAGCATTCAGAGGTAACCCCATGGGACGGATGTTTAAGAGTGCCGTTTAAAAGCAGAAGCTTTCGGAGATACTTAAGGTTGTGTCTACGGGCCTCAGTGTGTGGTCATGGCACACGCACACTGGAATGCCAGGCAGCAGTTGAAAACCCGAGGTAGACACGTGTTTGGCAATATAGAAAAAACAAAACAGTTTAGTGGAAAGAGCCAAAAGCAAACCATTGCGCACACTGCGGTTCATATGTGTGGAAAGAGACCGTGTGTGTGACATACACATGCACAGCAATATAGAAAAAACAAAACAGTTTAGTGGAAAGAGCCAAAAGCAAACCATTGCGCACACTACGGTTCATATGTGTGGAAAGAGACCGTGTGTGTGACATACACATGCACGTGTGCCTCTCCCTCTCACCCCGACGGGACACGCAGAGAGGGTCCTGGAAGGAGTGTAGGACGCTCCTGAGCTACACGGGGCCTGGCCGCTGGGTCTGGGTGGGGCATGGAAGGACCTCGCTTTCCACACGCCGCCACGTGCAGGACCTTCTTACACTGTGTGCACGTGTTACTTTTAAAATAAATCTGAAGTCAGCAGGTGCTAAGTTTAAAGAATTAGAGTAGGTGGGACACTCATGGCACTGCTGTCCACGGCCTTAGTTTTCCTCAACTTCTCTAACTTTCCCTGTTACAGAGAAGTGAAGTTGGAACAGCCTTGCACTTCCATGCTATGATGGCTAAGACTTTTACTTTGGTTTCTGTATTTTAATTTATAATTGATTTGTAAATTAAAAGTGGACGACTCCGCTTCTCTGCAGTCGTCCATGAGCTGGGGACCCAGCGTGCTCGTGTGGCCTGCCCGGCTGGCCACAGGGAAGACAGGGGAGGGCAGGGCTGTGCTCAAGGCCAGCACGTCCCAAGTGCCCTGTCCAGGGAGGGTCCTGCTTACCTTCATCGGGCTCCTGCTCCTGAAAGAGAAATCCAGTTAATTCCTCCACACCCCAGCCCAGGCTGCACACGCCGCGCGGAAGGGAGCGTGCGGGCCCTTCGGCCAGGCCGTGTGACTGTCTGTTCTTCTGACGGGAAAGCAGACGGAGGGCGCCAGCCACCATGCGCTCGCGCAGTTACTCAAAATGCCACCTTGTCGCAGGCTGCTCGGCGCAGAATGGCCACAGGTCCCCCCAGCAACACAGATTCTACATTTTCCTACAAATTGAAAGTGATGTACTCTCTTGGAAAGTCCCACAACCGGGACACACCTGCTTCTTGTGCTAAATGCAGGGTGGCTCCCCGCCGGGAAAGCAGGAAGCGGAGTGGACCCTGGCGGCCGGGACAGGGCGACTCCAGGAGCCTTGGCCGTGAAGCCACCAACTGCGCGGTCTACTGGTGTAAAAATCCTAAGTGAGGAGATGAGGCATGCCAGTCCCCCGCCTCAGGCAGGAGGAGAGTGTCGCGCGGTGGAGGCCCTGGTGTCGCCTCCTCTGCGGTCCTGCGCTCGGGCTGCACTGGCTCCATGCGGGAGCAAGTGCTCCCGGGGGACATTGCAGCCAACGAGGCCCCAGCCACACTGCCAAAGCACAGCGTCAGCATCGGTCGCAGCTGCTGTTTTATTCACACCGGACGATCCTTGAACAACAATCGTGTCCACAGTTGTTTTTCACCACGAGAGTGAGGGTCCCCTCCCTCAGGACCCTCGGGGAGGCTCGGCCACCGGGCGCCGCTCTGCTCCTTCCCTGCGAGCCCGGTGGGCGCAGCCGCAGGAGGCTGCGGGCAGGCGACGCCTTCTCTGGGCCTGGGCCTGGGCCTGCACCGCGACGGTGGGACAGAGGCAGACCAGAGAAGGGGCGGGCCGGCACGGGGCCCGGTTTCCTGCTTATCTCATAAGTTGTTCCAAAATGGGTCGATTTCAAAGATCCAGTGTGATTAAAATCGAGGCTGGGGGTTAAGCGCCGTGCTTGGGCTGTGGCCTGGAGGCACCTGGTGTTAACTGATTTCTGCTGCGAGCACAGATGCAGCTGACAGGAGACCGACGTGACATGCCACTGAGGGCCAGCGAGGCCAGCGGTGTGCCCATCATGGAAGCACACGTCCGGGCAGCAGAGACGCCACGCAAGGCCCCGCACGTGCACAGGCGTTTGGGGAGAGCCCGCATTAGTTTCGCTGAGGGCAGTGAGCAAACAGCGTTAGTTTTGCAACAGAATAAAATACACCAATTGTCCGAGAGACTATTGTGACCACTGTATTGGAGGGTGAGTGTGGCTGATTGATGTAGAGTCAAAAACACACCAGGTCTGGGGGAGGATAAGGCAAAATATTCTCACAGGACAAACAATGTATTTTATAATGCAATTAGGATTCTGAAAGGGGGGGACAGGATTCAAATTTGATGTGGCCAATTGGGTGCGGACTCTCTGTGCGTGAGGACCTCAGGGGCACCCTCCCTTACGGGGGCCTGTGTGCCCGCGGGGATGCCACTGGCTGGACGGGCCTCTGCGAGGGGAGAAGGGCGGAAGCGCTTTACTTCTCCATGGACAGGCGGTGCAGCGCCGCGCCCAGCTCCTCCAGCTTCCCCTTGTGCTCCAGGTCCTGGTACAGGCCTCTGGGAACGGCGTCCAGGCCATACAGCAGACCAAACAGGCAGCCCGCGATGGTCCCCGTGGCCCCGCTCTCACCTGGAAGGCAAGCAGAGGGGGTCCCGTGAGGCCCCGGCTGACCGGGCCGCTGCTCCTTTCCCTGGCCCCGCTCAGACCCTCTCTAGACTGACCACCCCGGGGGCCGGCAACACTTTCTCAGATCAAACCCCAGTTCCACTCTGGGCGGCCCCGCAGGCCTGGGGGCTGGTACGCACAGATGGGCATTGCCCTTCTACATCCCCAGCTGCGATGTCCACAGCAAGTGTCCTCTCGCCTCCACGGGCAGCGCACACCCAGGATGGCACAGAGGACAGACACAAGAGGCCCCGTGGCCCAACACTTTGCCTGGTCTGTAGGGGAGAAAACCCACCCAGGGGCTGAGCCCTGGTCCCTGCAGGGGCTTCCGGAGTGAAGCCTCCACCTGGCACCTTCCCAGCTTGGGCACGTGGGACCCAGCTGCACACTCGGTTCCACTTCTCGGAATCACAAGCCTTCAGGGACTCGCTTCCCTCGGCCTCAGGCAGCTTGTAAACATTTGTGGAGTGAGGAAGGTGGAGCCCACATGTGTGGTGTCCTTCGTGGGTGTAGAGATTTTCCAGCTTTGAAGTGAAAAATGCCGAATGCCCAGTCTCTAAGATACTCGGTCCTGCATCTCTGAGGCTGGAACCCTCGGAATCACCATGGATTTCTCTCTTCATACAAACTCAGTGCCCAAGATGCTGCTGAGATGTGCCCATCTTCCCTGCATGCAGACTCACATGCACTCACACACGCATGCACGTGGCGAAGAGATAAGCCGCAGTGGGTCGAGGGCACACGGGGGGCCAGGGCAGGGGCTGCCCTGCGAGGAACCCGGGCACGGACGTGCAGGATGCGCAGCACGAGGCCACTGCAGCCAAGTCCTCTCGGCCCCGTGTTCTGTCGCTCCAGGAGGCAAGCTCTTACAACTGTCCTTCCCCACCTTCCACCAAAACCTGCTCCCGGGACAGGCTCTGATGCCAGTGGCTCCCCCCGCAGTGGAAAGCAGAGCCGAAGCATGTCGTGGAACAGAGTTGTGGTCCCACGTGGACTTTCTACAAGCAGTGAATGGCTCTGACGAGACACACAATCGTGCAGAGATGCATTTGCCATCCTGGGGCTGGGCGGCCAGGGTACCTCGTAGGTGTGAGGACGGCGAAGAGGTCAGGACCTACTGAGAAGTGACCTTCCCCGCAGGCTCTGCCGGGCTGCCCCCCGGCCACACTGGGGACCCGCCAGCCCACTGTCTCCCTCGTTCTCTTCCGGTGCCCACACCCCTCAGATGCTCTGCACCCCATCTCTCCTGTTCTGGGCTAAGGGCACCCGCTGTCTGCACCACCTTCCCCCCTGGATGGCCCAGGCCCCTTGCCAGGCTCTTTCGAGAGACTCCCCGCCCACTGCCCCTGGCACCTCTGTCCTCTTCTCAGCTGGAAGCCCCCACAATCAGCCCCTGGGAGGTGTGAGCATCTCCCCCACTGGCTATATTGCATGTCAGCAGGGGATGAAACTCTACCTTGATAGAGAGTCCTGTACCAAGCAGGGAGTCGGACTGTGCCATTATTACATTCATGCTGAGGACAGTCCCACGGGGTGGTGCTACCAGGAGGCCACGGGCATTGGGGAGCAGAGCTAATCCACCCCGTGGCACGCAGCAGCAACAGCTGCCACAAAAAGCACTGAACTCGCAGGCACTTCATCTGGAGCTACCACAACAACCCTGCCAGGGCGGCTTCAACCTCTCCTCTCACAGGGGGACAGGCTCAGAGCATCCAGCAACTGGTGCAGGCAGAACCGGGTCCCGAAGCTGGGGTCCCTGACTCTGAACTGCAACCAGAGTGACTTTGCACAAAGTGCAGGAGTGAAGGGCAAATGGCGGTGGCCTCAGAGGACAGGACCCGCCGAGCAGCAGCAGCGAGGGAGAGGCAGCCCCGCACCCAGAGACCCCAACGCAGCTCGTCGTCCTGAGCCCAGCAGGCTGAAGGCGCCTGTGGCCTGGGACATCTGTGCACGTGCACGCTCAGGCCAGCACCCTCCCAGAGCAGGTTCCAGAAATGCAGAGAATACACATGCTAGGGGTCCAGAGGGGCGGGAAGCCCACCACCACTGAAGGGAAATCTCACCTCCGTGAAACATGGCCCGGTCACACAGCTCGGCCCAGCTGCCCCCTGCCGCGAGGAGGGCGTCGTAGGCGATCATGGGGGCGTCGTGGCCACACCTGCCCCCTCGACCTTCCGAGCTCCACTTCTTGTAGGTCTGAGGGGAGAGCCGCAGGTCACAGTTACAGCACAAGCTTCCCGGTCCACCTGCAGATGCGTCCATCCACCCAGCCACCCCTTGCTGTGCACGTAGTGAGCGCCACCGGTGTGCCAGCGTCGGCCCAGGGTCAGACAGCACATACCTTGTCTCTCTCCTCTGCGTCATAGTTGTCGGGAAAGGTGGCTTTATTGTCTGTGTCTTCGGTGATTTTTCTCTCCTCCAGATAAAACTGCCACTTGGCTTCAAAGTAAAACCAGTACTCCTGGTACTCTAAACATGACGAACAGGGGAGTGGCTGGGCAGTTTCCGGGGTGGGGCAGGGTGGGTGGCAGCAGCGTCCCCTCCCCAGCTGCAGGCGCATGGAGAGCTGCAGCACCCACTCCGGGGCCCATGACTTAGCGACCGTGCGGGAAACATGAACACGCTGACATCTGCGGCTGCTTTGAAACAACCGCAAGTGAGATGCAGATGGCAGAGCCCCTGAAAGCGGCTGAGCATGTTCCGCAGCTTGGCGGTGGCCGCCACGCGTTTAAGTGCATCCTCGTGGAAATCCTGAACCTACACCCTTCACATCGTCAATATAATACCGCGCCCGTGAAGCGGGGGAGAGGACGTGTCATCACTCCTAACTCACAGCCCGAAACCCGAGCCCAGAAACATCTGTGCAACCTTCTGAAGGGTTTGGTGATGAGGGCACCGGCTCAGGTGAGGCCAGGGCGGCAGCTGCACACCCTGCAGACAGCGCGGAGCCTCCCACCACCTCCTCGGAGACGCAGAGGCAGAGCGGCTGCTCATGCCCGCCATGAGTGGCCGCCACGCGTTTAAGTGCATCCTCGTGGAAATCCTGAACCTACACCCTTCACATCCGTCAATATAATACCGCGCCCGTGAAGCGGGGGAGAGGACGTGTCATCACTCCTAACTCACAGCCCGAAACCCGAGCCCAGAAACATCTGTGCAACCTTCTGAAGGGTTTGGTGATGAGGGCACCGGCTCAGGTGAGGCCAGGGCGGCAGCTGCACACCCTGCAGACAGCGCGGAGCCTCCCACCACCTCCTCGGAGACGCAGAGGCAGAGCGGCTGCTCATGCCCGCCATGAGGTGACACGGCCTGCCCTCCCGCACGTGCCACCTCCTCCTGAGGCCGAAGGGAGGCTGCAGAGGGTGCGAGCTGTGCAGGCCACTGGTGGCTGGTGCGGCCCGTGGGACACCACTGAAGATGACAAACCACAGGCCCTGCCTGCCTGTCTTGGGTGGAGGCCAACAGTGCCAGAGGGCAAAGCCGAGACGGGAGAGGGGCTGGCAGGGCAGAGAAAGCAGACGGGATGCCCCTGCCGCCATCCTCCTGGCCACGGGGACACCAGCAGGTGCCTGGGACAGATCCCGGGATGAGGTTCCAGGTTACCCAGGGGCTCACAGGTCCTTGGAAATGCTGGGCCAACTTGGTTTTACACTTAAGGCCTTGTTCAGAGAAACAAGATTGAAAGTGGGAGACTCAGAAATGAGGGGTTGGGGACCCGGGACAGACCCCAGCAACCCTGCAGGGCATAGCCCAGGGCCTCCACAGAGACCTCGGGGTTCTGGGGACAGAGCGGCCATCCGCCATTGGACCTCCTTGCACACCTGGCGCTGTCCTGAGCAGCTGTCCGCCCTCTGGCCAGGTGACAACCTCACACCTCTGTGGGGTCAGCTCTGCTCATGCTGACCTGATGGGGTTTTCTTGTTTTCACCTCAGGGCAAACGCGCCTTGAACTGTCTGGGGGCTGGTGAGGAGCTGCCGTGAGTGTGAGCTCAGGGCGGCCTCGCTGCAGGTGCCAGGCTCACCTGCCATGTGCCGGATGGTCTTCCTGCAGTACTCCTCGGCCAGTGGGACAACCCTCAGCATGTCTCTGCCCCACTGCACGAGCGGCTTCCCTTGTGTGGCATACGAGACGAACAGGGCTGTGCACAGGGACCCCAGGAAGCCTAGAGGGTGGCGGGAAGGGGAGAGACAGCACTGTCACCTGGGCCACTCAGGACGGGGCCTCACAGCCCTGGGCACTGTGTGGCATAGGAGACCGTGGAAAAGGCTTTGTTTGTTTTACCATCTTAACCGTGCTTGAGTGTGCAGTTCGGAAGTCCTCCTCTCGCCAGACTGAAAATCTGTCCCCTTTGAGCCCCAGCTCCCCGCCCCCTCCCAGCCCCAGCCCCTTCCCTTCCACTTTCCTGCACGAGCCATCGTGCACTGCTTGTCCTTGTGCAGCTGGCTCCTTGCCCCGAGCACAGTGTCCTCGGGTTCATCCACACTGCCGCAGGTGACAGACCTCCTCCCTTCATGCTGCAGGGTACTCTGTTCTGAGGACCCGTGTGTCTGCGGACGGACGTGGGGTGGCTTCTATGTCTGGCCGTTGCAGATGCCACGCCACACACGGCTGCAGCGACGCTGGTGAGCCTCAGCCAGCGTGCACCGTCTGCACGGGCGGAACAACGCATCCCTGGAGTCTCGGGCACAGGGACACCTCCCTGAAGCAGGCGACGGAGCCCCGAGGACCAGTGCCGTTCTCAGCTCCCCGTGGTGGGCTCGGCTCGCGGCTCAGCCCCGGGCGTCCGGGCTTCCTCCTCTCACTCTGAGCCTGTGCTGGCGACGGCGGAGCTTCTGTGCGACTGCTCCTCGGCTTGGACCGGGCTCAGCTCTCACGCGTTCTGTGCACGTCAGACTCAAAGCTGTTCACTGAACACACCGTGTGAATGTGAGTGTTTTAAATAAGGCGAGTTTAAGGAAGGAGGTGGCCTGGGACGGCTGCGCTGTGGCCTCAGGGGTGCCGGGAGAGCTCAGTGCATCCTCGGCAAACCAGCCCGGCGTGGACAGGGAGCCATGGCAGCCTGAGCCTCATCACATGGGGCCTCCTGATGCCATCCAGGGACCGGGCCTTTGACATGCTGGTGACTTGCTGGTGACTGCACTGGCGTTGCTGGGTGAGGCCGGGCTCCTCTCAGGGAACACAGCGAAGTCCAGACTCTTTCAGGCGCACCCACTGCTGGTGTGGAGGCAACTAATTTAAATTCCTCTCAGTCATCCTGGTCCTGAGGAGATGACAGCTACCCCAGGGCTGGCAGGACAGTCCTGGACATCTTGCTGGCACCACCTGTGTGGAGAGAGCCACGCGGTCTGCATTTCCTCATTGCTACTGTGAGCAGTGGTAGTGCTAGTGCCAGTTATCACACTAGTGATGGCGGCAGTGGTGGCAGAGCTAGTGTTGCAGTGGCAGCGGTACTAGTGTGGCAGCGGTACTAGTGTGGCAGCGGTACTAGTGATGGCAGCGGTACTAGTGATAGCAGCAGTGGTACTAGTGATTGCAGTGGTACTATTTATAGCTGTGGTACGAGTGTGGCAGCGGTAGTGGTACTAGTCACAGCCGTGGTAGTGTGTAGAGGATGTTGACTAAGAAGTTACTAATGAGGTAGAAATAAAACACATGTATCTCACAGTCCTTAGTGTGGAAGGCCAAAGCCTGTAGCTTGGGAGGCCAACGCTTTTAGTTTAGGGGCCAAAACCCAACCCCTTAGGAAAACATGTAGGAATGCTAAGATTGATGATAAAGACCAGAAAACTTTTCACAAGACTGAAGCCTTTGATGTAGATAAGAGGATTGAAGCGCAGCAAAAGTGATTGCTCTGGGGCAGTCGCCCTTGGTGCAGCTAAACCTAAATGATGGGAAAGTACGTGAGCTCAAATCTTCAAGGATATTCCGCTAGTTAGTGCTTGGGGGACGTTCCACATCTCACCCTAAGCTGTTTCTTTGAGTTTCTTGGGGAGTTAAGGGCTTTGCTGATTATCTCACTGTTTCCTTCTGTACCTCACACAGCTTAGTTTTATGACTCCTTTTGATGGTAAATTGCTTGAACTATTTTAAGCTACACAGGCTTTAATGAAGATTGTCATGTAGCCAGTTTATGTTTTCACTGTGATTGATTAACCATCTGTTTTTCTTCTGTACCTTTCTTGTCTTTGCAATAAAAACTGAAGAAAAAACTGACTCAGGCTGTGCCTGGGCTCTCGTCTCTTGAAGGAGTTTTCCTCCATGCAGTCCCTTCGGGCTTCTCACTGCTCTGAATACATGGGCTCTGAGTCATCTTTTGTGTCTCCGTCACTCTGTGAGAGGTGACAGCAGACATTTCTTTTCTTTTCTTTTCTATAAAGATGATCGGTAAGGGGATCTTAACCCTTGACTTGGTGTTGTCAGCTCCATGCTCTCCCAAGTGAGCTAACTGGCCATTCCTATATGGGATCCGAACCCGAGGCCTTGGTGTTATCAGCACTGCACTCTCCC